AGCCAAAGGGAAAGCCGGGTAAGAAACTGACCTAATCTAAGTCTTAGTGCGACTGGATATATTAAAAGTCACTCCGTCGTGGGAGAAGGAGAGAGCTTTGAAATTCAAGGCACGAACATCCAAAACCCTCTTACAGGATACTAGGCAAAACAGTGTGACCAATTTCGCCGACAACTGGCGTAAGGAAAGGTCCGCATTAGATGGTCATGAGTCAAACAACTATAGCACCATGGAGATGTCCCACGTAGAAGAATATTGTGGGTGAGAAAGGCGGGAGACCCGTAGAAGTCGGCATACCTGCCTGAGAACTCTTTAAACCCTGATGGGCTGAAGCGATGGCAGACCTATACACATTTATCGTCCTGTAGGCTTGGCCAGCTTCAAACAGAGACATGAGGAAAATAGCCATTACAGGGGCTGAAACGGGATCCACATCCCTAGCCAGGCACCAGCTAGCCCAAGATCTCCAGGCTGACCCATATGATCTTTGAGTTCAGGGAGTCCATGCGTCTATGTGATAATATCGAGTAAATGGGCTTTCCCCCTGCTGATAACCTGAATGGTATGCGTAAAGTGATCAAGTGATGGAATGTGATATTAATTCAAGCCTCATGTTCAGTCTATCGCCAAATCCTGTCATTTCCATCTTAAAAACATTGCGCGCATCAGCCCCTACTTAACGCCAGATGCGACTAAGGTGTTGGTCCATTCCACTGTCCTTTCTCGCCTTGACTACTGTAATCCACTTCTCAGTGGTCTTACGTGCTCCATAATTACAGTCCATAATGAATGCGGCAGCGAGGCTCATCTTCCTGTCCGCCCGCACCTCCCATGCCTCAACCACCCTTCTGTAAGTCCCTACATTGGCTTCCTATAAAATATAGAGCTCAATTTAAAATTCGGGTTCTTACTTTCAATCGCTATATAATGCTGCACCCACCTATCTATCCTCCCTTATACACAAGTATGTCCCGTCTAGGCCCTTACGATATGCTGACGACTTATGTCTATCTTCTGTCCGTACTCCCACCTCTGAGGCTCGCCTTCAAGATTTCTCGAGGGCTGCACCATTCATGTGGAACTCGCTTCCCTCCTCCGTTAGATGCTCTCCCAGTCTCCACTCCTTCAAAAAATCATTAAAAACACACTTCTTCATAAAAGCATATCAATTAAACTGTTAATAGCTCCTGACTGATTCCTCATCTGCAACTGTCACTAGTCTAATACTATCCTTACCTTTTTGTGTCATTTTACCCCACTCCCTCTAGCATGTATGCTCATTGAGCAGGGCCCTCAACCCCTCTGTTCCTGTGTGTCCAACTTGTCTGGTTACAACTACACGTCTGTTCGTCCACCCATTGTAAAGCTCTGCAGAATTTGATGGCGCTATATAAATAACATCATAATAATAATTAATATTCCATATTAAGAATGATTGATCACTATTGAGCAAATTAAACTATTATAGATAGTTAAGATGGCACCAGTACAAAGCACTGAAAATGGTAACCACAAAACAAGCACCAGAATGACTCATGCATAGCTTCACAAGATAGTTATGAGAACGTAGCTGGCTTTTAGATAAGAGATAATTAACCACACAGATCTGGCATGGTATTGTTGGTGGGGCTCGACAGCCTAGCCAGCTGCAGGTCCCATCCAACACTTTTGCAAGGATTTTGCTGGGCTGCACTGATAAGTATATTTGATGGAAAAGTACAGACTATTCATCCCATTGATTATTCAGAATGTTATAAAAGACGAGAAAACTTGGCACTCGCTTGGAGTACTACCCACCTGTAATACGGACGCGTATTGCTGGTTCTCCTGATTCCCAGCAAAAGAGGGTCCTCTTCAAGCCTGACTGCCAGAAGGTCTCTCAGTCGAGTGCAGCAAGCTTCTCTTATGGTGATGTATACTTAAGCTGTTTCCTTAAGCTGTTATTACTTATTGATTAAGTCTCTGTTAATCAATAAAGTTTGTATTGATTATTTACAAGTACTTGGTGTCAGTGTCTTTCCCCTTCTCAAATACTCAATTTACTCATTCCGAATAGGGTTTTGGTGCCCACCAATATCTTTAAAAAAGTTAATTGTTTATTGCTTTTTGATATTGGCTCTTCGTGAATTTAATGATTAGGCACAACAGTCTGCCCAGAGGTGTCGAGTTGTGTCCGAAACGCCCGAGATTTTCCAGGGTCCCCTGAAATCCTCTAAGCTATAAGTAGCAGGGAGCCTTCCCTGAGGAGCGGGTGATGATTGTCTGCCGGATCCCGAAGTAAGTCAGGGCAGTCTGGTAACCTGGGAATGTCTTTTGCAAGTTACAGAAGTTGAGGAAACCATGACAGAGTCCCACAGAATCGGGTGATGAGGACAAGTTCGCAACTTAGCGTCGAACCTGCAGTAATACCCTGGGGAGCATGGCAAATGGAGGGAAGGCGTAGAGAAGCAAGCCATGCCAGTCCTGTAGGATGGTGTGTATTGCCTCTGTGGCTGGGTCTGGTCGCCAGCTGAAGAAATGGGGTAGCTGGGTGTTGAGTCACGATGCGAACAGGTCGACAGCACAGGACCCCACAGGGATGAGAGTGTAGAATACCTCCACGTCTAATCTCCAATCGTTGCTGTCCGAGAGATAGCGTGAACTCCAGTCCGCCTGAATATTGTGCAGGCCCAGTAGGTATTTCGCCTGGACTATCAAGTACCATGTCAGACAAAACTCCCAGAATTCATCGCCAAATGCACCAGTACTGCCGATTGGATGCCACCCATGTGGTTGACATATCGAACCGCCGATATGTTGTCCATCCAGAGGCGTATGCAGGCGTTGGCAGTCCTTTCGCAAAACTCTGAATCGCAAAAGGATCCCACTAAGAGTTCCAAGGCATTGATGTGCATCCTGGATTTGCTCTCCAACTAGCGTCCCCCTGTCAACACACCCTCACAATGGGCGCCCCAACCATCCGAGTCTATAGTGAATTCCAGGTGAGATCCGAATATGGTCTTGCCGTTCCAGGCACGAAGGTTGTGAATCCACCAACGTAACTAGTCTTTGGTTTCCTTGTCCAAGGCCACCAGATCTGCATATGAGGCTCCCTCGCGAAGGTGTGCAATCTTCAATCGTTGGAGGGCTCAGTAGTGAAGAGGAACCAGGAACACCGCCTGTATGGACGACGCCAACAGCCCAATGATTCTTACCAAGTGTCGTAGCGTGAGCAGCAGCCGGGTTAAAGCCCTGTGGAGTTCTTTGCGGATTGTGTGGATTTTGGATGTCGAAGACTCAAGGAGTCCTCTAACAAGTTCACAAGGAAACCCAAGAATTCCATGCAGTTAGCTGGGGTCAGACAGAATTTTTCCCAGTTGATGAAGAAACCCAGGCGGATGCGGACTGACCTCCAAGGGTGCCCTGGTACAGGGGAGTACCATTGGTGAATGTGACAGGGAGGAACCTGCATCCAGCAAGCATAGAGAGACCTGAGTCAGAGAGTTAGATCTTGCGGCATTAGCCAGCGCTTTAGGAAGGCTTTGGCCAAAGCTACTCATGCAACGCAGTAGGAACAGTGAAGCTTGCTTCATTAACCATTATGTAGCACAAAGTAAAAGCAAAACAAATAGGATTAATGCTAGAAGAAACAAAGCAAGGGGTCACCCAGAGTGCACACGTGGGCGTCACCCACATTGCAGTGACGCATTTGACGAAGGTCAAAGATCCCAATCAGATTGGGGGTCACTTAGGTTGGCAAACACCAACCTGAAATATATAGTGCCATGCTCTGCAAAGGCTGGCCACAAGCCAAGTGTGTATGTGTGGACGTAACCCAGGTAACAAGCATGGGTGACTCATGCCAGGAAACTACCCCCAGGCACATTTTTTTTTATTTTTACTACAAATGTGGGGGTGGGGGAAGTGGAGGGGGAAGATAATTATTCATGCACTTGAACTCTATAGCGTTAAGAATACAGTTTTGCATTCCTAACACTATAGTGTTCTTTCAAGGGTTATAAAAAACAATTACTGAGTAAACACTTTTTTAAAAATAAATATTTAATGATAAATTGTCCAATATATTACACAAACAAATCTAAGTCTATAATCTCAATCCTAAACCCTAACCTTTAACACTACAAACTCAAAGCCGAGGTTATTCTGATTTAATAAGATTAGGGAAGCTCTACAACATATCGACTGGCATAAACTCATTAGTGATAAAAACACTGAGGAAAACAGAAATTTGTACTTACCGTAAATTCTTTTTTTCTTAATATGGTGGCAGTAACTGAAGGGTTATACTTTTCCCTGTGGACAAGACATCTAGCAATTAAAATTTAAAAGGACCCTCCCCCTTTCCCTATAAACTGCGATACCTCTCAGACATTCCCCAGTACGTGTCAAGAAAGACAATACAGCCCAAATTCTACTGCAAAAAAAATCTTTAATAGAAAAAGGGAGGGAAGTAGTACTGCTACCATATTAAGAAAAAAAGAATTTACGGTAAGTACAAATTTCTGTTTTGTCTGTTCTAATCTTGAGAAGGTCCTTCGGGATTAAGGGCAGAGGTGGATAGATATAAGCTAGGTGGAAGTTCCACTCTATTGACAAAGCGTCTAACCAATTGGGCCGATCCGTTCTGCATAGAGAGGCGAAATTGTGAACCTTTTTGTTTGAGGCTCTTGCCATCAAGTCTACTTCTGGAAGACCGAAGATTTCTGTCAGGTAACTGAAGATTTCCGGGTTCAAAGACCATTCATTTTGGTCCCACTTTCCTCTGCTTAGATCGTCGGCTATTATATTGTCTCTGCCTTTTATGCTTTGATATCTTCCAGGTTTTTTTGTGACCATTGCATAATATCTGCACAAAGACCGAACAGCTTCCTTAATTTGGTTCCTCCTTGACGATTAATATATATGAGACTACTGTGCGATTGTCTGATTGTATCATCACCGCTTTTTGTAGTATCCAAGGCCTGAGGTAAAGTAGTGCGTAGAGTACTGCTAACAACTCTTTGAAATTTGCGGATTCTTTGGCTTCTTCTGATGACCATCTTCCTTGGAACATGGTGGAACCTAAGTGAGCTCCCCAGCCTGTGCTTGAGGCGTTTGTAGTGACTACCAACCAATCCCTTGATTGAAAAGACAATCCTCCTGAAAGGCATTCTGCCGTTTTCCACCAAGCTAGCTGATTTTTTACATGAGATGATAGCTTGAAGATTTCGTCTAAATCTTCCTCCTTTTTTGACCAGGCAGTGAGGATATTCCATTGCACTGGTCTGACCTCCGACCTTGCCCATTTGACAGCTGGAAAGGTGGCAATTAGAAGACCCAAAACACCCATTGCCTGTCTGAAGGAACACGTTTCCATCCTTTGGAGATTGGAAATTTTTTCTCTGATTTTCCTCCTTTTCCGCTTGGGAAGAAAAATTGACATGTAGACTGAATTTATCGTGAAACCGAGAAATTCTAACTCTCTCGTGGGGATGAGTACCGATTTTTTTCTGTTTAAGATCCAGCCATGGTTTTGAAAAACACTTAAAGTGACCTGCAGGTCCTTGTGCAGCTGTTCTTCTGTATGAGCAATGAGGAGCCAAGCGTCCAAATAAGGGATAATTGAAATCCCTAATTCTCTTAAATGAGCTGTTAGAGGAGTAAGGATCTTTGTAAATATCCTTGGGGCGGAAGAAAGACCAAATGGTAGAGCCCTGAACTGGAAATGAACGATGGATCTTCCCTTTTTTATAGTAAACCTCAGAAATTTTCTTGAAGCGGTCGCGATTGGAACATGAAGATAGGCGTCCTTTAAATCTATTTTTGCCATAAAGTCGCCTCTTTGTAAAAGGGGAATAATCAACGTGATTGACTCCATATGAAATCTGTCATAGGGGATAAATTGATTTATGTATTTTAGGTCCAGAATGGGACAAAACGAGTGGTCTGGTTTTGGCACCAGAAATAATCTTGAATAGACCCCCCGAAAATTTTGTTTTACTGGCACTCTTTCTATCACTCTTTTTTGTAACAGCAGCATGGTTTGACAAAACAGAGCTTGTGATTTCCTTGCAGACTGGTATGTGGATACTAGAAATTTTGTTCTTAGTTTTTCTGAAAATATTATCTTGTGTCCTTTTTGGATAAGATTTAGCACCCAAGGATTCCTGGTCGGTGTTTTCCCATGCAGAAATAAATTGTTGGAGCCTTCCTCCTACACTTCTGGCGTCAGAAACGTCTCTCTTTATCGCTGAAGGTTCTTTTAATATCACCCCTTTGTTCGAATTTACCATTTTCTATCCCTTCTTTGAAAAAATTGTGGTCTCTCTTCATAGAATCTTCTATTTTTATTCTGATAATTTCTGTATCCTGATCTCCAGGAAAATTTCTTATCTTGCGGAAGCGCTTTCTTGGTTTCTGACATTTGTCTAATTATTTCTTCTAAGGGAGCCCCAAATAACTTTGTTTTTTCTAGTGGAAGTTCGCAAAGGACTGATTTAGAGACTGAATCCGCCAAGACCTTAACCATAAGGCGCGTCTTGCTACCGAGGATAGGCCAATGATTTTGGATGCTAATTTAAGAACTTCTACTGACATATCCAAAAGGTATTCATCATTAGCCAAATGCATTTTCTGAAACAAATGGTCTAATTCTTTAATCTGGTCAGATGAAAGAACATCCTGCATCGTAGTTAGCCAGATGTCATGTGGCAACCGCTGCTCCTGCTAGTAAAGCCCTGCATTGGAAACCGGCTGTCTGGTAAGCTCGTCTACACGAGATTTTGGCTCCTTTATCCAATGGATTTTTCAAAGCTGAAGTTTCCCCTATAGGAATAGTGGTCCTTTTAGCAATCTCCGCGACCTGAACATCTACTTTAGGGAGATCTTCCCAAACCACTTCGCCAGCCAGTCTGAAGATATCCTTGAAGTGTCTAGAAATAAAGGCACGTTTTTCAGGGTTTTTCCATTCCCTAAAAATGAGATCGACAAGGCTTTGCTGTACAAAAAAACCCTTTTTAGGATTCTCATTATCCTGTGCTATGATTGTTAGGGTAACTTCCTTTATACATTTTCGAATCTCATCTGCAGGAAAACCAACCGGTTCACTTGAAGAGGACCCTGAATCATCTGAATCAAATGATGACATATATTCCCCAGATTAGCTTTCAGATGTAGATGGCGACCTTCTCCTTTTCTTGATTTTTTGTATCGGGGATTCTACCTTTTTAGACTCCTTAATCGTCTCCAAGGTTTGGGCCAGATTTTCTTGGAACCAAGATATGAAAGACTGCATATCTTTTTGGTTATCTTTTTCCAAAGAATTTGCCGTACACTGAGTGCACATTTTCTTCCTTGATCCATCTGGGAGAGGTGTTGCACATTCACTGCAAACTAAATGTTTAGATTTTACGGTAGCCTTTCTAGGCGTAGCAGCAGCCAGCTTTTCTTTGTCCATGTCTGGATAAGCTGGGCTAGACATATCTGTGAAGAACATATGAAAAGGAGGTTTTAAAGCTTTAAAATTGAAAGAATATTTTCAGAGAATATTTTAAAGTAAAGATCAATTTAAATCTCACCTCAAAATACCTCTGAGCCGTGTGGGGGGCAGGTGACAATGTGTACCACTTCTGACCTGCATCCATGCAGTCAGTAGGTACTAACACAGCTTCTTATATTTACCGGTTTCAATTTTCGCATTTTTTTTTTTTTATAGCTCTTCAAGGCGCATGCGTGTTTGCAACCCGTGTGTCTCACCTACAATGTCCTGTCCTTCCCTCTCGGGACAAAAAAGAAGACTGGGGAATGTCTGAAAGGTATCACACTTTATAGGCAAAGGGGGAGGGTCCTTTTTAATTTTAATTGCTAGATGACTTGTCCACAGGGAGAAGTATAACCCTTCAGTTACTGCCACCATATGACAGAAAAAAATGAAAACTATTCAAACAAATATTAGAAAGGTACATTTCACAGTATGTACCATTGGGTAATACATATAAAAGAAACAAATTAAAACCAATGTGGCTTAGTAGAGAAGTAAAACAAGACATTAAAAATAAGAAAAGGGCATTTAAAGCATTTAAATCGGACAAATCAGAGGCATTCTATATAAGAAAGCCAATAATACTTGCAAAAAGGCAATTAAAGTGGCTAAACTAGAAAATAAGAAATTGATAGCCAAAGAATGCAAAACCAACCCCCAAAATTTTTCAATTACATCAATTCTAAAAAAACAAAAAATAAAGGTGTAGGTACACTGAAAACAGAGATGGATCTGTTAGTCAATGAAGACCAGGAAAAGGCAGAAATTTTAAATAACTTTTTCTTCAGTATATATTAATGAGGGTCCTATGACAAGAGATAAGCAAATGATTGCTGCAACAAACTTGCAGATAACTTGTGATTGGATAACTCGAGACAAGGTGCTACAGCTATTAAAGACAATTAATGTAAATAAAGCTCCGGGGCCTGATGGTATCTACCCACGAGTACTTAAGGAGCTAAGTGGGGAAATAAGTGAACCTCTGTATTTAATTTTTCAAGATTCTTTTGTTTCAGGTATTGTACAGGAGGACTGGAGGAAGGCAGATGTTGTTCCTATATTTAAAAAGGGTTCAAAATCCTTGCCTGGAAATTATAGACCTGTGAGCTTAACTTCTGTGACTAGGAAATTATTTGAACGGCTATTAAGGCATAATATTTCGGAATTAATAGGGAAGAACTGTGTTATTAGCAATAATCAGCATGGTTTTATGAAACATAGGTCATGTCAAACTAACCTAACTGCATTCTACGAAGAAGTAAGTAGAAGTATAGATCAGGGTGTTGCAGTGGATGTGATCTACTTGGATTTTGCCAAGGCATTTGATACGGTTCCTCACAATAGGTTAGTCTTCAAACTAAAAGAAATTGGTCTAGATGAATATTCTTGTTCTTGGGTAGAACATTGGCTTAAGGATAGAGTACAACGAGTTGTCATTAATGGTACATTTTCAAGCTGGACAAAAGTGGTAAGTGGTGTCCCTCAGGGTTCTGTTTTGGGACCGCTTCTATTTAACATATTTATAAATGATCTTGAAATGGGCATCGAAAACCATGTATCAGTGTTTGCAGATGACACAAAACTTTGTCAAGTAATAAAATGTGAGCAGGATATTGCCTTGCTGCAGAGGGATTTGGATAGATTGGGGGACTGGGCACTAAAATGGCAGATGAACTTTAACAGAGAAATGCAAAGTGATGCACTTCGGGGTTAAGAATGCACAAGCAATGTACACCCTAAATGGTAGTGAACTAGGGATAACCACACACGAGAAGGATTTGGGAATTGTTATAGACAACAAATTAGGCAGCAATATGCAATGTCAATCTGCAGTTGCTAAGGCCAGTAAGATTTTGTCATTTATAAATAGGGGCATAAATTCGAGATGAAAATATAATTTTGCCTCTTTATAAATCGCTGGTAAGAGCACACCTTGAATATGCTGTGCAATTTTGGGCACCTGTTCTAAAGAAAGATATCAAGTGCAGAGACGAGCTACAAAATTAATAAAAGAAATGGAGCATTTTAGTTATGAAGAAAGGTTAAAAAATTTAAATCTCTTTAGTTTGGAAAAACGGCGCCTGAGATGGGATATGATAATATTATACAAATATATTCGGGGCCAGTACAAATCATTATCTGGAAATCTATTCAGAAACAGGGCTATACATAGGACACGAGGTCACACATTTAGGCTTGAAGAAAGGAGATTTCATCTAAGGCAAAGGTTTTTTTTTAACAGTAAGAGCAATAAGGATATGGAATTCTTTGCCTAAAGAGGTGGTTTTGTCAGAGTCTATACAGATGTTTAAACTGCAATTGGATAAATACTTGCAAAAACATAACATACAGGGATATAATTTCTAATTAGTGGGGTAATAGCTGCTTGATCCAAGGATACATCTGACTGCTATTTTGGGGTCAAGAAGGAATTTTTTCCTAGTTTGTTGCAAAATTGGAAGCGCTTCAGACTGGGTTTTTTGCCTTCTTTTGGATCAACAGCAAAAACATATGTGAGGAAGGCGGAACTTGATGGACGCAAGTCTCTTTTCAGCTATGTAACTATGTAAATCAGAATGGAAATGGATGCAAAAAGGGTCAAGTTATGACTAATTTGGAAAAATTTGGATTTCCAGATCAGTTATATGTGGAATTTACTGAATGAAGCTGTAAATCTAACCAACTAATCTCAATATTAAATGCCATAACTCTAAGCATTGATAAGTTTGTCATTGATTCTAAAAACTAAACTTATTCTTTAGATGCTCTCTATACAACTAGTTACTTTAGCCATAAATATCAATCTTAAATCCAATCAACCACCCAGATCATAACTATTCCATAACCATGCCTCCTAAATGCACAAACCGCCTTTATTAATGAACATAATTTGTTATGATATATATATATATATATATATATATATATATATATATATATATGTTATATATATATATATATACACACATACATATAAAAAGTCTAAAGCATATATATGTTATATGCTTTAGACTTTGGACATTTCTTGCTGTGTTATGACTGCTATTGAATGGAAATGTCCAAGTGTGAAAATCCTGTAACAGGAAGATTGCAATTTCCAAGGATCTAACATAATTATAGCTCCACCCTAACCTGAATTAGGGTCTGATTTGTGCTTGAAATAAGATCTCTATCTTCTACAAACAATTATTTTTACCTCTGTGTGTAGTCAAGGGGTTGGTTACAGAACCACTAAGGGCATATTTTAGGCCAAATGTATTAGTCCATTGAGAAAAGGGACAGCTTTAGCGCATGAAAGCTACTACCCTTAAATGCAGTGTTTTTTTAATGTTGGATACCCTTACTAATGACATATGGGTTTGCATAATCAGTTCACCAGATCGTATAGGTTTATTGTTACATAATATTGTACTTCTAGCGGCAACTTTTGTCCTCTCCTCTTTTGCAATATCCTGTTATAATTATAAAGTAGAACTTTTTGTAAACTTTCATTCAAGTTGAAACACAAAAATTAAAATTTCCTTGACAAACTACCCAAATGATATAGAGACAAATGCCCAACGATTGTTTTCATTGATATAACTTATATTTTATTTTTTTACATGAAACAAAAGTTTCTTTTTGCTGAATGGATAAAATAAAAAACACGAATGCAAAATATTGCTTTATGATTTATATCTTCTGGTTTCTTTCATCACTTGTGATATGTAATGTTTCCCTATAGTGATCCCAGATATATCCATAAAAATAAAACGTGTTAGGTATATAAAAAAAAAAAAATCCAAGGAAATCAACCTAATGACTGTTCAACTTTAAAGTCTTTGAGCAGATAGACATTTGACTTGCAAGTAAATCGCAGTTCTTCCATTAATATCTACAGGGAATTGGAAATGTGTTCACTACTGATACACTCATCGCTGGTTATAGCTCTTAGAATTATACATTAAAATTGCTCTTCCCATTAAAAAAATCCGATAGTTTAAAGATTGTGTCAGCTAGTCTCATTTTCATCATCTTGTTTGGATTCTCTCTGTGCTTCCGTTTCATCCAAACTTGTGTCGCTATCTGATTCCTCTCCATCTTCTTCACAAGGTAATGTGTCAGCAGGACCATCACAACTGCCATTTAGTGGCACTGCTCCCTTCCTTTGAGGCAGAACAGAGAAAAAGGCTTCTTTCCAATCTTTCTTCTCCAGAAAGGCAAGCACAATTTCAAAAACTGCAACACAATATAGAATCATTTTTATTGAAAAATTAACTTGACAAGATTTGAAAAGAGCTGAAAAAAAAAATTCCATACCACTTATGGGGGGAAAAAAAATAAAAAATCTCCAACAAATAGAACACAGGGTGAAGCCAGTGATAATTAACTGAATGGACTGATATCCACTTGATAAGCAATATTAGACTAGTAATAAAATCCATAAAACTATAGAGAACCTAAAGCCTTCAAAACTACGACGTGTAAAATAGAGCAGAATAAAGTCTGGACAAAATGAAATTAGGTGATCACAGACTCCAATCAATATATATTTTTGAAAGATGAATTATGTTTGTTTCAGAGAAAATTTGTGCTGCAAAATTCTAAAATCAATGCTTGATAAGAATTTTCTGCAACCAATGTAGTTTAATTCACATGCTTCATATTACAAGCAAGAGTGACAAAGGAATGATTTATCAGTTGATGAATAACGGGTGGCCACTTACACATTTGTGAAAAATGCCTAGTTAAGGTACACATAATAAAAATAAATACATGACTTATTAGAATTGTCTACATATTTATGCTGCAATCTAACAAGCCGTCAATTTATTTGGTTTAGGAATAAGAATTAAAACAAATTCTAAGTAATATGCCCATATAGACAAAATTAACTTCAAGGAGTATCAGTTCTGTATCCGTTTCAGTATTCGTTTTTACAATATAATTTTTTAGGCACTATCTATAAAATGGATTTAAAAAATGTGTCTAGCACAGTGATGGTAAAACCTATGACAAGCATGCCACAACGGACACAGAGGCTTGTTGCTGGCAAAGGTCCACCACATTGCAGGTAGTGTAGTGTACCTACTCACTGCTGCTGAAGTATCTGCAGTTGTACACCTTGTACAACCTCTCTCATCATGTCCTTTAAAGAGGAAAGCTGACCTTGTGTCCTGCTTCATCTCTTCGGTAAGGACAAACAAGCCAATGCAGTGCCCATGTGGTGTTACGTATTTGGGCCATATCAGCTTTAGTTCTTGGGTACTTTTTCTTCTTGTACAAAGCCTCATTTAGCAAGTCTTCACAGTTTAAAGCATGCATATTGGCAAATATACCTTCAGGTTTCCTGAATAATAAGATCATGTTTATTGACAAAGCAAATTATGCTTACAATAACATATATTTAAAGGGATTTGCAAAAGACATGGATTGACAAGGGGCCCATCACAATTTATTTTACATCATAACACTACACACCTCATTTTTTTTTATCATACATACATATATTCACACACACACACTACTTATTTTAGTAAAATACTTTATCTGGACTTACAATTCTATACGTTCAGAACGTGGTCCATAAGAGAAAAAAAAAAAGTTTATTTGTTCAAAGACACAAACAAAATGTGTTAATCGTCATAAATACCATAAATCATTAGTATCAGGAGCACTAAAGGAATAATGAGCCTATATTAAAAAGAGGCATTGTCATCCCACCTAAAAAAAACACATCTGCAGGGATTGACTCTGTAGCTAAGCCTAAGCATTCTATCTTTATGAAATACTCATATTGACAGTGTTAAAATTTCACTGAAATTCCAACCCAAGAGACTACTTTGCAGAAACTACTTAGTCTCTGTATTTCTCCCACTCTTGACGTTTGACACCAGACTTAGCTACAGACTCAATCCTTGCAGCTGTGCCCAAATCTAGTGTTTTAAACATAATCAATTTTTTATGTTATTAGTTTTGTATCTGTCTGATTAATAACACTGATATTTTAATATGGTCATTACAATAAGCAATTAGTTTGTGTTTATGGTCCAATTAACAGCACCGTTTGCAATTCTTTTGTCAAGAACCCCTAATGCACAGTTTAGTAATGAAGTATGAGTAGATATCACTTGTGACTTTAACTATTTTTACACTGATTCCTCACCATGATTCACTGCCAATACTTTCCGACTATTCATTTTAACAAAGTTTGATAGCGGCAGCTGTGCATGACTTATTCCAAGTTCCAAGGCTTGCTTGTATGTAATCCCCTGCAAAAAAAAAAAAAAAAAAAGCTTTTCATTAGTTATGAATAAAAAATAAATTAAAGGTATAGCACGCTCAGGAAAAAAAACAAACATCCTGGTGATAGTCCAGGAATACGATAGGCATATATTCTTTGGTCCCAATAACTACAAACCTTGTTGGAGTACAGGCAGACATAATTTCAACCAGATTTTGTATTTCTGGAGTTCGTTATCTGTATAGCATATACTACTATATCATGCACACAAAAAAAAAGCCGTTTGTAAGTTACTGTTTGTATTTAGGGACATTAAAGTGGCCCAGTCCATTTTTTTATTTTTTTTTACTTTTGGTACTCCTTTCAATATGCTTCCTATATACAAATGATTATGGTCCGTCCCTTGCAATTTTCCTTTCTTGTGCTGGATCTCAGTACTTTGACGCAGCCATTTTGTTCGCCTATGACCATGATGCCAGTTGTTTGTTAAATAAAACATTTGAGCTCTGTCCATTGTCAACTTAACTGCTATGCATATGTATTCCCTAATTTTACTTAAGTGTTTTATGACAACTGTAGCTCTCAGGAAAGAAATACAAAGATTAAAACCCTGGCAGATAAAGTTTATTTTTGGTTGCAGAGTTGATTTAAAAAAAAAAATATAGATATCTTCTTTATTCATTATTACAAAACAAAATAAAATATAGAAGGTAGTAGAGTGTAGTGCCACTATTACGAACCGTGGGAAGGGGAAGGAGGGGAGACAGGACTTAATATATTTCCATCTTGGTTGAATTTTTTTGACGTCTGGATAATGCTTTCTCAACAGCCCTTGAATCAAAAACATAACCCAGGAATTTAAAAGATGAAAATTAAAAAGTAACACACATAAATAGTCAAACCATTTGCTAACAAATTGACTTCTTATCTTGGGTCCATTGAGTGCCCCACCTCCTGTATGATGCTACAGTTAGCTCTCCTGAGCTAAACTCTGCAGCGCATTAGATGAGCGCATCAGCTGATCACTCTCAGCCAATTAAACTATCACTTAGCTCCATGCAGAGAGCGTCTGGTTCTCATGTAAGAGATGACCAAAACCCAGCGGAACCAGGTCCCTGACTAAACCATTAGAAAAATTAATGCAAGTGTTCCTTCAAGTATATGCTAATTACTTGATTTTATTTAAATGAATTACAATTTAGTTTGTCCTGGTTTTCCTACTTGAACAACCTACAGAATATTGTACATACAGCTTAATAAAGCAATAGTTACAATATTGAAAACGCATCACCACCATGACGCTCCTTAATTTGCCTCTGCCATTTAATTTCCCATTAAATTTATTTCCTTAAGATGAGCAAGGTTTAAGGCTTTTTATGTTTTCACCTCATGTAAGCGTCTGTGGAACAGTCCGTGGAGTGATTACACACTTGACATTCATACTGCTGAAGCCGGTTTTATATAAAAGTAATGTTATTGATGGCTTCTCAAGACATCAAACATCACATTAACCAATGCTGAGTGATGAATCCAGAACACCAATATGTTATTGTTTTTCCCTAATATTTTTCACCATTAACCCCTTCAGGACCGTCAGCAGTAAAACGTGCGTTTGGACCGCTGAAGTTCCTGAACCGTCATAGCGAAAAACGGGCTGCGGGAAGCGATCAAAGATCGCTCCCGCCGGTATAACACTGTAACTATCTGCCAGACATCCCAGGCAGATAGTAACAGCCAATTGCGGCGTGTGAGCGATCCGCAATCGCTCACATTTGGCTGCTGTCAAAGTGGGTGTTACAAACACTTACTTTGACAGTGATCTCTGCCCCTCTCTCCTCTGTAGTGTTTTGTGAGGCGAGAGAGACAGAGATTGTGATAGTTTGTTGCAGCAGAAGTGTTCCAGAGCTTTACACAGTATCTAAAGTGAATAGAAAAAAATCCTTTATAACCCCTTCTCTGCCAGATCTGTTACAGCAGTGCATTTGAACTGTGTATTTTTTTTTGCCCTTAAAGGGTTAAATTTGTTTTAAAAATCTTTGTCTTGGTCTGTCTTAGTCCGGTTCCTTCCCCTAAATCTCCATTAGATTTGTGTGACAGGAGTTAGTTTAAGGATTGCTGTTTAGTCTGTTTTAGTAAAAAAAAAAAAAAGTATAAAAAAAAAAATTTGGTGTTTGTAATTTGTTTTAGTCGTGTGTAAAACATGCAGCGTAGGTATAACTTGCAGGAGGCATATGCCTTCTTGGTGTCAGACTCTGACGCCACTGACACTGCGTCAGATTTTGACCCAGGTCAGTTTTCTGACACGTCTAGTCAAGACGACATGTCATCTGTGTGTGAGCCGGCTAAAGAAAAAAGCTGTGCTTCCTCTGCTACGCCGAATGTGGAGGAGGACTGGGTACCCCCCTTTAGTGCCAACGCAGGCATTAATGTTAATGTGGATGTCTTTTCCCCAATGCAGTATGTAGAACTATTTTTAGGGGATACCATCTGGGAGGAGATTGCTTCCTAGACTAACTTGTATGCTACCCAATTTATTGATAACAATCCAGGTAGATATATAGTCAGGGAGCATGACTGGCATCCCACAGATGTCCCAGAGCTTAAAAAATTCTGGGCTCTTACAACGCTCATGGGGGATCATAAAGAAGCCATCGATTCGCTCATACTGGAGCACCAACCCAAAAATGTCTAGTCCAGTATTCTCCCAAACCATGCTTAGAGCCAGATACGAGTTACTGCTGAGATTTTTACATTTCAGTGACAATACCCTCTGTCACCCTAGAGATCACTCCCAATACGATAGGCTTCATAAAATATGCCCACTGCTAGACCATTTTCAGGCCAAATTTTCGGATGTTTATAACCCCCAACAAAATGTATCCATAGATGAATCGCTAATGAAATACAAAGGGAGATTAGGGTTCAGACAATACATCCCCTCAAAGCGCTCTAGGTATGGCATAAATCTGTACAAACTGTGCGAGAGCGAAAGTGGATACACGTTTGCCTTTCGTGTATATAAGGGGAAAGATGGTCAACTGGACCCTCCTGGCTGTCCTGGCTCCATGGGGACAAGTGGGAAACTTGTATGGGACCTACTAAACCCCTTGTTTAATAAAGGTTACCACCTTTATGTGTATAATTTTTATAGTAGTGTCCGTCTGTTTAAAACACTTTATGGTTTACAGACACTGGCCTGCAGCACTGCCAGAAAAAATTCCAAAAAAAAAAAAAACTTTCCACGATCTCTCATAGAGGCAAAATTTAAAAAAGGTGAATGTAAAGCACTTAGAAAAGCTGAAGTGCTTGCATTAAAATTTAGGGACAGGAAGGATGTCCACATGCTAACCACCATTCACGACGAACGCATGTCAGACATCTCTATCCGGGGCAGAGTAGAGTACAAACCGGTTTGCATCAGGGCGTATAATAATTACATGGGGGGGGTGTTGATTTGGCTGATCAGCTGATGCAGCCATATCTTATTTTACGAAAAACCAAAGCATGGTATAAAAAGGTGGCTAACTATCTGATGCACGGTGCAAGCTGAGTCCAGACATTTTATTTTTAAGTTACCGCCAACTGCTAGAAAAAAAACCCCCCAGAAACGTTGCCGGGTCTGTTTTAAAAACGGGAAAAGGACAGACACCCCTTTTCACTGTCCTGATTGCCCTTCGAAACCAGGACTGTGTGTAGGAACATGTTTCAAGCTGTACCACACAGAACAGTTGTAAGTGTTCCTGAATTTTTTTTTTTATTTTTTTTTTAGTTTCTTTGGAAAGCAGCTATTTTTTTGTTAGTCAGTTCCTTCCCCCAAATCTCCAGTTAGATTCTATTTGCAGGAGTCAGTTTAAAGATTGCTGCTAAATGTACATTTTCTACCTGCACATTTGGTCTAACAAGTTCTCTGGCAGTAACACATAACCAGCTGGCCAAAACCAGATGACGTGTGCATAAAAACAAGAAATAAAAAATTACCACTACACTTTCTTTGGGGGGCAAAATGGTTGGGTGATAGAAGTCAAAACACCCCATCTTCTACAACCTTTGATGTCTACTTTATAAAAATATATACTATATATACTGTCATGATGGTAACATTAACTGGGGGGTGCAAAAATATGTCAAACCGAAGATAGACCAAGCATACCTATATATCAAGTCGAAAAACTGACATGTACAAATTCTGATTGTTGCCTTTTGGCCCCCAAACAACACAGCAACCCTATACATGGATTGCTGGGTTGTTGCTGAACATATTGGGGTGTTTGGCAGTGACACATAACAGGATCTGTTAATTCATGCGTTACAAAGAAACAAAAAATATTACTACCCAAACGTTTGACAAAGGCTGGTGGTAGAATTCAGTGCATGAAAAGTGTTAAACTACCACCATTTAAAATACCCTGGGTGGTCTACTTTTCAAAAATATATGGTTTGATGGGGTAAAATACATTGGCTCAAATAGGACATGGGCACAGGTTGACTACATGTCAAAATTCCAAGCTAGGAAACTGATATGCGCACATGCCAAATGTGGCCTTTTAGCCCCCCAACAACCCAACACACCTATACATTGGGGGTATCTCTGTACTCGGGAGATGTTGCTGAACACATATTGGGGTGTTTGGTAGTGACACCTAACAGAAGCTGTAAATTTATACCTGAATTGCAATGTATGTGAAAAAAAATAAAAAAAATAAACTACCTATGCAAAGTTTGGCAAAGGTTTGTGGTAAAATGGCTGCATAGAAAGTATCAAAATATTCTTAGATGAATACCCTGGGTTATCTAGTTTAAGAAAAATATATACATGTGGGGTGTTTTTTTGGAGATTTTTGACATAACAGTGTTACAATGTCACTATTGATACATTTGAAAAATGTACATTTTGAAACAGCAATTTCCTACTTGTACTTATAGCCCTATAACTTGCAAATAAAAGCAAAAAAAAACAAAACACAACCACTGGGTGTTTTTAAACTCAGGACAAAATTTTGAATCTATTTAGCAGTTTCATTCGATTTTGTAGATCAGTAAAATATTTTTTTAACCCCTTAAGGACACGACATGTGTGACATGTCATGATTCCCTTTTATTCCAGAGGTTTGGTCCTTAAGGGGTTAAGTAAAAGTCAAAAAACTTTTTTTTTTTTTTTTAATTTTCACCATATTTTATTATTATTTATTAATTCAATTATATGACATGATAAAAATAATAGTATGTAAAGAAAGCCCTTTTTGTCCTGAAAAAAATAAATATATAATTTGTATCAGAACAGTAAATGAGAGAGCAGAAAATTACAGCCGAACACAAACACCACAAAAGTGTTAAAATAGCTCTGGTCCTTAACGTACAAACATCGCAAAAACAGTCCGCTCGTGAAGGGGTTAATTAACTTTTAGATCACGTTTTTTTAATATTATTTACTAGAGCTTTGTTTGTCAGCAGCTGGAGTGACAGAAAATAGCACCTGAGCTGGTATATCTTGATATGTACCTTGTAATGATTGTGATCAACCAAGCCACCAATAACATATGCTTTGGTCTCGTCAAGCTCATTAAGGACTTCTGGGGAATCAGATGTAAGGTAAACTATGTCTTGGGGCTTCATAAGGTCTTTGAAATGTTCAGATTTTATGTGGATATCCTGAAAAAGAAAACGTTGAATATAATGCCAAGATATAGTACTGGGGAGTCCAAGTAGCCGCCATCTAAAATATTCATTACCTAAAATACTTCAAAATATTCTCACCAGATCATCACTATTTCCACCTCAGCAAGCTATAGCAAGTTCAGATGGGACCATCTTGAAATAGTATTCATATATAGACAATTAAATATTAATAATTAGATAAAAGGCTCTTGAAATGATATGATGTTATCTGCATCAGAACCTAGGATTTGCTAATTAGAGCAGAAAGAGAAAATCCTTGTCTTAACTAACAAAGCTAAATGCTCTAACCACTGCAACTTTGTACAGAGATATATATATATATATATATATATATATATATATATATATATATATATATATATATATTTTTTATTTTTTTTTTTTTTTTATTCCAATTTAACAGTAAAAAGGGAAAAACTGCAGCACAGACTTCACTATAATAAATGTAGTTTTTTATACAGAATATGATATAAATACAATAAATAAGATGGCTCACAGAAAATGAGTGATGATAGTATAATAGAATAAAATTAAGGTTACATATGCTTTATTGGGAACACTGGTTTTACGTTCTAGTACATTCAGTTTTACCTTCCAATTAATCCATCCCTTGTCAAACTCGTCCATGTTGCCTTTCAACTGTCCACCATGACTGGTTAAATAAAACTTAGAAAGAATGAACAGTTCGGTAAATATAACATCACTTAACAGAATTTTAAAAAAAAGAGCATGTATGCACTTTTCTAAATTTACTGACCTAAAACCAAAAATTATTTAAAAAAAAAACAAAAAAACCCCACACAATAAAACCTATAACTGGTTCACGTTTTAATTAAGGGATCATGGTAGTTTAAACTCACTCGTTTCAATTTAACCAAATCCTAACAATCCACCAGTGGTGTTATACACATGTTTGTATTCTGCCCTAATTTATGAAAATTGCTAATTGTGGACTAGACTAGGATGTTAGGGACACTATAGTCACGAGAACAACTACAGCTTCATGTAGTTGGTCTGATGTCTATTGCCTATTCCTGCAGACTTTTTAATGTAAACATTGTCTTTTCGGAGATGGGATGGTGTGCAGACCTGAATGGATCTACACTGGTGTGTAGAGCTAGAGTGACTATAGTGAAAATAATGACTGTTGTTAAAAGATTATTAAAAAACATCAGGGAATAAAAAGAATGTACCAGAATGTGGTTAAACTACTTCTAATAGTGGGAAGCATTTAATATTTGATCAACACACAATAGATTATTGAGCATTTCCAGCTGAGAAGAATTCAAAATCACGAAGGCTTTTAAGGTACCTCTCTATGACACCATGGTATAGCACATTTTGCTAGTTTCTCCATAGCTTCTTCTTGAACTCCATTCAGCATATTTCTCCCCAATCATCAACTTCATATTGCCAACCCTTATAGTGGTCATAGTTAATATATTTTAAGTTTATATGAACTTCCACCAAGGCAAATTTACAAATAATGCAGCGTTTGAGAGGCCAATTGCGCTCCAATTACCTGAACCGGATGTAGTGCCCGACGATTCTCTGCATAGCACCTCCGAATTTGTTTGTTCAGCTTTTTCACATCCTAGAAAGCCAAAAAAAAAAAAAAAGAACATGTTTATGGTAACAGAAGAATATATTTCAAGCATCATATGCAGGAATAAAGGAGTTAAAAGAGAATAAAAATAGTCTCACTCTTAAAGCCATCAAATTATCGAAGCTGCAGTCTATAACAAGGCAAAGTGAACTGGGATTAATCTCTCTGCGGATTCGCTTCTTAATATTCTCATCCAGGTTTTGTTCCAGCTTGGCCTGTCGTTCCTGTTTCCTCTTCAATCTTTTTTCTTTTCGTTTTTGCCTAGAAGTTGAGTGCATGTAAATATTAAAATCTATAACAAAAAGAAAAAAGTTCCATCGTCCCAGTAAATGCTATTTCAATGTTTATTGGTGTGAACAGGGCAGCAGAACTAAAAAAAATAAATTAGGGATTATTCTATCTTTCTTGCTGTAGCCGAAACTAGCAGAGATCAACCATGTAAACAATATAACTTCATAATAACTTCATTATTATTTATTATTTTATTTTTTATATAGCGCCATCAGATTCCGTGGCTCTGTACAAAGGTTGGACTAACAGACATGAAGAAGTGAGTTTTCAATGCTTTTTGAATGAGTGGAGACTGGGTGAAATTCTTAAGGAGGAGGGAAGGGAGTTCCACAGAAGAGGTGCAGCCCTGGAAAAGTCTTGGAGGCGAGCGTTAGAGGTGGGAGTATGGACAGAGGATATACGTAGGTCTTTGGCAGAGCGTATGGGCCTCGGCGGGACATACTTGTGTGTTAGGGAGGATAGGTAGGTTGGAGCAGCATTATGTAGGGACTTGTAAGCAAGCACCAGAATTTTAAATTGAGCCCTATATCTAACTGGGAGCCAATGCAGGGACCACGAGTGGAGGTGTGGGAGGTGCAAGAGGACAGGAAAATGAGCCTTGCCGCCGCATTCATTATAGATTGCAACGGTGCAATCTAGGAACAGGTAAGACAACTGAGAAGAGTATTGCAGTAGTCAAGGCGAGAGAACAAGGACATGGACCAGCACCTTAGCCGCATCCGGGGTTAAATAGGGGCGGAAATGTGCTGTGTTTTTGAGATGGAAGCGACAGGATTTGGCGATTTATTGGACATGAGGGGTGAAGGAGAAGTTGGAGTAAAAAAAGACACCCAGACAGCGAGCCTGCGAGGTAGAGGTGATGGTAGCGCCGTTGACTTGGAGGGAGGGAGACACTGGAGTAGTAACACTTGAGGGAGGAAAGATCAGAAGTTCTGTGTTGGATAGGTTAAGTTTAAGGAAGTGAGCAGCCATCCATTTGGAGATCGAAGAGAGGCAGTCAGAGACACGAGTCAAGATGGGCGGAGAGAGATCAGGAGAGGACAGGTAGATTTGCGTGTCATCAGCATAAAAATGATAATGGAAGCCAAACGAGCTGATGAGTTTACCAAGGGAGGCAGTGTAGATAGAGAACAGAAGGGGACCAAGGACAGAACCTTGGGGGATGCCGACAGAGAGTGGTTTGGGGGGGAGGAGAGGCAGAATCAGAAAAAGAAACATTGAAAGAGAGGTAGGAGGAGCACCAGGAGAGAGCAGTACCCCGTAGACCAAAATTACGGAGAATGCGAAGAAGCTGTCAATGATCAACAGTGTCAAAGGCAGCAGAAAGATCAAGGAGAATAAGGATAGAGTAATGTCCGCGAGATTTAGCAGCAATTAAATCGTTGAAAACTTTGGTCATAGCCATTTCAACAGAGTGACCAGCGCGGAATCCAGATTGAAGGGGGTCAAGCAGAGGAGTTGGTTTCGAGAAAGTCAGTCAGTCTGGTGTACACAACTCTCTCGAGGATCTTGGAGGCAAATGGCAGTAGCGAGATAGGGCAGCAGTTGGATGGGGAGTTGGGGTCAGGGCTGGGCTTTTTCAGAATTGGGGTTACAGTTGCATGTTTGAAGGGTGAGGGAAATGTGCCAGAGGAAAGGGATAGATTGAAAATTTTAGTGAGGGGAAGAGCAAGAGAGGGAGACATAGTGCGGATGAGATATGAAGGAATAGAATCGAGGGAACAGGTGGTGGGGCGGGAGGACCGGAGCAGAGAAGAAACCGAATGAATGAGTGTAGAGTGGTGGAGGGGGTGGGATTGGGTGATGTAATGGTAGGGGAAGGAGAGAAATTAGCGATCTCTTCTCTGATTGTAGAGATCTCAGTGAAGTGAGATGCAAAGTTTGTGGCGGAGAAGGTGGTAGAAGGAGTGGGAGTAAAAGGGCGAAGAAGAGCATCAAAAGTGTGAAATAGGGGTTTGGATTGATGGGACAGTATACTTATGAGGGTATTAAATTAGTGTACTAGCCAGGCTGTAGGAGCGCAGCATCAATTTATAGTGGAGGAAGTCAGATGCAAAGTGATCGATCGTTCAGCAGTTCTAGAACATTTTTGGAGGTGACGGGTCAGCTTGGTGTGCCAGGGTTGTAATTGGGGGCGCTTGCTGCGTTTAATTTTAGGAAGTGCCATGATGTCGAGTTGAGAGGAGAGAGTTGAGTTGTAGAGTGAGGTAGCCGAGTTAGGGCAAGTTAGATTTGAGATGGGTAAAAGGAGAGTATTGAGTTTTGTGGAGAAATGCTGGAGATCAAGGCAGGTAAGGTTTCTACGAGATTTGGTGAAATTTGATTAACAATGGACAAAACTGAAGGTCCTGTGCTTGGTCAACCTTGTAAACCGAGAACTGATGAGCTACAGGCTCAACGTTATAACGACCGGAGAAAGGTCTTCACACCAAAAGGAAACTGAGAGTTTTGTGAAAGTATAGGTTCTCTTACCAGAGAAAATCAAGTCTATTAAACACATAGTGAATAGCAATCATTGGCATACTTCATAGTAAGCATTGGTGAGAGAATGATAAATTCCTGAATATAATACTAGGGTGGGTTACCTTTGGCAGATGGTGCATAAAAGTTGAACCATGACATGGATATGTACCCAACTATCTAATAACTTACCTTAAAGGGTGGGAATAAGAGATATAAAGAGAGGGAAAATATTCACCTCCTGTCGTTAATAAAATTTAGATTATTTGTTCACTAAAACTAGAATAATCCCTAATTTTATGGCAAGACAGGCTTCATATTTGCTGTTTTAACGCTCCTGTATGATAGAAGATGCAGCATAGGTTTGAAATAGAAAGTAGGAAACGTAGGCTCTCTGTAACAATCCGCAGAGGATAAGATGTCTGAGAGGGAACTGCCTGCTCAAAAGGCAGAGAATGAGGCTGCTCCTCTGGCTGATTGTGCTCCAAAGGATGGGTCAATCCCAGCCTGGGTAAGAAACCATCTGATCCACCGTGCAAGCGTGGAAGAGGATACTGGCGTGTGCGGTCTAACATAAGAGAGCAGAAGAGGCCCTGCAGTGTGGCATATATATGTCGAACACAGCTCTCCACACAGAGGGATGGTATGTTCAAAAAATAAGGATAAAAGACTGAAGAATTAGTCTTTTTACGTCTGGTGATATTAAATCTAACTCCCCCCGGTGTGAAAACTACAGCATGGTAGTTAAACGAACGATACTAAACATAGAGGTAATGCCAACTTGGCAGAAAGTTGGTGTAATGACAAAGCGTCATTGGAAGGCCAAGATTCCACAAAGGAAAAAAGAGGGTAGATAGAAAATTTAGAATGGCTGTAAGAGGTGCTAAAAAGGGATCGATATCCCTTTCCAGACACCAGCTGATCCATGTCTGCCATGCAGAGAGGAAAGTGCGTCTAGTGCCTGGGGCCCAGGATTTCCACAGGAGAGCCTGAGCCGTTTCCGAAAATCCAGAGACATTCCAAGATCCCCTGAAACGGTCCAAGCTACAAGCTGGAGCCGTTCTTGAAGCGTAAGCGGATGAAAGTCCCCTGCTGGGTTCCTGAGGATGTCGGGAAATCGGGGTAATTCACAGAAGAGTAGTGAACCAAGTTTGGGCCCTCCATAATGCAGTTGCAATGACTATTGTTACTACTAAAGCTTTGACCCAATCAAGGGTGCTTTGTATTATGGAAAAATACAGGAACGCATAAGCTCCTCTCTCTAGCAAAGGGAGTAGAAATACATCGACTGCCCAGGATTGGGGGTCTGGGAGCCAGCTGAAAAAGGCCTCCGGTGGACCTCTCTGAGAACGTTGCGCCCCACCCCAAGAGGCTGGCATCCGATTCCAGAAGCCTGGCTGCGATCCGAATATGGCTTTGCCATTCTAGGCTTACATGTTGTGAAGCCACCAGTGAGCTCTATAAGGACTTTGTCCGTTAGGCAAATCAACTGGTCGTAGGAGGAGGACCAGTGTAGATATGTTTTGAGCCGCTGCATAGCTCTGTAATGTAAAGGTCTCAGGTATATAGCCTGGATAGAGGCAAAGAGGAGACCTAGAACATGTGCTAAATCGCGCAGATGAATCCGTGGCGCTGACAGCAATTTCAGAATGTCTCTCTTTATAGATTTGATCTTTGCAGAAGGCATTTGTAAAATCGTCTGTATCGAATCTATTAGAAATCCGAGGAACTGAACCGTCTGAGGGGGTTCCAGATCCGATTTCTGAAAATTTATGACAAAACCCAGGTTTTGTAACAAGGCAGTTGTCATGTCCGTATGTTGATTGAGAAGCCATTCTGAGCCATGATCAGGATGTCGTCCAAATATACAATGGAACGAATCTCTTGCGACTGGAGTAATGCCATGACTGGTTTCATAAATTTTGTGAAACACCACGGTGCTGAGCAAAGACCAAAAGGAAGGCATGTGAATTGACAAATTTCTCCTTGCCATAGGAATTGAAGGAAAGCCCAATGGTTGCGGGCAACAGGAACTGTGAGGTATGCGTCCTTGAGATCGAATCTGGATAACCAGTCTCCCACACAAAGGAGGTCCCCGAGAAGATGGATGCCATATCTGACATGTTGATTCAGATCTTTCAGACTAATAATTGGGTGAAGGTCTCCTGTCTTTTTGCGGACCAAGAATATGTTGCTAAGAAAAGTAGGTGGGAAAGGCAATCTTTCGAAGTCAGAAGTCTGTAATGTGTGGGTGGTATGTCCTGGAAGAGAGTGGAAAGGGAATGAAACCCTTGACTGTGAAAGCAATTCCTACTGTTAGAAAAAATGGGTTAGTCAACCTGCTCTAGGTACATTGAACAAAGTGTGCTGCGTAGGGAAGCAGATCCGCGTCCCCGGATGGAACCTCTGTTGGTGAACAACTGTCGGTGGCATGGTCGGGCCTGTAACCTGTGAAGGCAGTTCTGCTTGACACTCGGCCCCTATAGCGACCAGCTCTCCCAGGAAAATGCTGTGATTGGGAGCAAAACCCTGCGTAAGGAGGATTGGGCTTTGTTTAAGGTAGTAAATACCGATACATGTTTAGAGAGATCTCATAAAATTATCTCCAAAGAATAAGCCATTGGCCTCCGGTCCCAATTCTTGGGAACTCAAATCCACTAATTTAGAATCAATTTTGTATAGTGCCGCCTTACGTCTCTCAGTAGAAATAGCCACATGGTCATTGCCCAAGACGCAGAAAGCCTTCTGGGCCCATTCCCGCACTGTATGTGGATCGAATTCTCCACTAGTAATATCTTCATCAGCTAAAATAAAATACCTGGATGATAGGACCAGCAATGTCTAAGAGTTTGTCTTGAGCTGCCTTGAGACCCTGCTCAATACCCTTGCGAGGGTCTTTACCAGATTTAGTGAGGAACGTCACCAACATTGGGTCAAACTGGCGTTCGTGCCACCTTATTCAGGATAGTTGGCCGAGGGTATTCGGCTCTAAGTTTAGCCCTTATTTCCTTTTCTAGAGGCTTGCGCAGCCACATCTTGCAAAAGTTAGTAATGTGGTCAGGCGTGGCGATTCAGCTGAGCATGGGTGTTTAATGACCCTAGGGTTGAAAAAAGGGACGCCCTAATCATCCAGAAGGATGTCTGAATTGGGCTCCTTGGTGTTAGTATTAACAGAATCTGGGTCTCTCTTGGTAATAAATGTCTCTTTGACAAATTCTGACGAGGAGTCTCGTAGCGCATTCGCCGGGAGCTCCTCGTCGGAACAGTTGAGGTAGTAATCATCCATCGCATTGCCCGTATTATATGTAGAGCCCTCTAGAGGGTCTAAAGAATTGTGGATAGGGCGAGTTAAAGACAACTTAAGGGACTTGGCGGGAGCCTTGCCCTTGCCTGCAGATACACTAACCCCTTTCCAAAGGCGTTTGCGCAGGACTTCCTCCTGATCCGAAGGCTGAGAATCCTCTGAGTCAGAGAGCAAGTGCGCAGTGGGGTTAACTTCAGTAGAAGTTTGATCATGAAAGGCTGCTAGTGCCTTAGGGATAGATTCAGCAATAGTAGAAACGAGCCATGCTCAAAGTTCTTGTGAAATGGCAGGCTCAGTGTTAGACATATTTAGTCTTATATGTAAAACTGACAGTAGTAAGAGAGGAAACTGTGCAATGAATGGGGGTCACCCAAATGAAATAAACGATAATTGTAAGGGCGGCAACACAAATAGTCAGTGGGATTAACCACTAAAATTACAGTGAGTGGGGTAATCCACTATAAAAAAAGCAAGTGGGGTCAACCACATGCAATAAAGTCAAAATGGATATGTCCGCAATTTTAAATATAAAGAGTGGGGTTACCACTGTTAAATCTGAAGGTGGAATTCACCTGTAATAATTATTATTATTATTAAGGAGTTAAGTGGGGGCTCACCCACTGTAATATGGGTGTTGGTACACCTAAGCGGAGTAAAGTTAAAGAGCAGGTGGGGATCACCCACAGTAAAATTCAGGTTAAATACAAAATAAGTGGCGGTCACCCACAAAAGCACTCCTTTATTATGCAAATAATTTTACAGCAGGTCTGTGTAATATCGGAAAACCATATCGGGAAAATAGCCGCTGTCAATTGAAGAGGTGGGAAAGAAAGCGCGTCAGAAAAACAGACGCGAATGGGCGAGAAAGCAGAAAGGGATGGAGTCCACGGTAAAATGGAGTTGAATGAATAAGGAGGGCCGCAGTCTCTTACTCTGAGGAGAGAGTCCACAGTCTAAAATATAACAAAAATCACGGGAATCCCCCTCCCAAAAACCCGCAGACATTCCGGTGGACATTTTAAAGAGACATTGTGGAACAAAAACACAAATATGCACAAATAAAGGTAAAAGGCAGAAAAAAAAATCTGACAGAAAGATTGCATAAGAGCAAAAAAGGGCTGAATTGAACAATGATATAGATAGAGACTGACACAAATCTAACTGGAAATGTAATATAGAATGGGTCTAAATAAATATACCAAAATAATTATCAAATGGTGATAGGTAGACTGTTATAATATATGGCAACAAGTATTACTGTATAGCAATATAATTGGAATAGACTCACCTGGGAGGCAATCAGCAAAGAAAGAGGAGTTGGGAGGAGCTTGATGACACTATATGATATTGTTTTACACTCTGATTGGTGACATTTTTTACATCATTGTTAACGGTTTCTTTACTGCTGGGAGGTTCAGTAAAGAAAGATTAAGCAAATATGTAGCCTCCTGTCTTGCTGTAAGATTACCTAACTCTGCAGCACTTGAGAGTTGCAGTATCACCACCTTTAAGATGACTGCATGCTGAGAATTGTGTCTAACAGCGCTGCACATGGGTAGTGTGGACGTACTGCGAGCATTAACTAGTTTACATCCTTTTAGTTTAAAAAAAAAAAAAAAAAAGGGACGGTACTAGCTATATTAAACTTAAAATTATAGATAGTATCTTTGAATATATATATATATATATATATATATATATATATATATATAACAGGAGCAGCTAAACACCAAAAATGCAACTTTTCCAAAAAAAAAAAACACCAACAGATAAAGATGCAGAGGTGTAGCGCTATATATTTTATTTTTTTTTTTTTTTGAGAATCATAAAACAATAACCTTGGTGCTTTTAAATATTACTTCCAGAACCTAAAAATATAATAGTACCACATAGTGCAACTTAATAAAAAATAAAAAATAAAATTTTTTTTATAAATAGTATAGGGTTGTACAGTAAGGAGCAAAGTTCAAAAAAGACTAATGCCAACTCAGTACTTTACAAACACAGAGCCCCTGTGGCTCAATAGTAGCGTGTTGTGTAGATATAAGGCTACACTCCCCTTTTAAATAGATGTTGCATAGTATACTATTTGTATTTTCAGGTTCTGGAAGTAATATTTAAAAGCAAGGTTTTTGTTTTAAGGGAATTCTCAAAAAAAAAAAAAAAAAAAAACTTAAATTATATCGCTACACCTCTTTCTTTTATTGGTTTACATACTTTGCCCAGCCTTGAATGGCAAACTACTTAAGTTAGAATAAAAAGAAAAGAAGAAAAAAAACAGCTGTGTCTACATAACATATGAATTCAAAGCAACTCTAAAAATAAACGTATTATAGTCATACTCCCCACATGGAGAAGCTTAATATACCAGCACAACTTTGTCAATCCAGCTGCTTGAAATACGTCTGTATATTACCCAACAAGGGGTGCATAAATAAGATGGCATGGAGGAGAATGTTAAGAAACAACACACATTATACGGAAAAATGGATGTTAGTTTGTACAAGTAGTAAAGAATATGTTGCTAAATGTAAAGCTTTCAAAATCTTCAGAATGCTTATGAAATAGCCAAGTTATATTCTTAATTCTACTTACTTTCTCAGATCTCGTTGGTCTTCCCATTGTTTCTGTTTTAACAGTTTCTTCATTTGACGCTTTGACATGTGGTCTTGTCTCTTACATGTTTCGCTTTCTTGTACCTCTGCATGACCAGTATCACATTTTTCTGATTCTTTTTCATTTATGAATTCTACAGTGTTTGGCTGATCAACTGCAACATTGGATGCCATAGTGCCCAGTTTGACTCAACTGTGACTTCCATGCAACAGTAGGTAAGAACTAAAATCCAGAAAGATAAATCAGTATATCTAAGAGAGATAAAGATAACATAAGCATTATTTATTTTAGAAGATAATAAGTTATGTCGAACAAGTCCATTATTTCCAACTATGTGAGAATCTACACAGCACCCATTGTCTAAATTTGTATCACAACTATTTGCTCTGTCAAGAGCATTTTCACATTTGCTGAAATACCTTCATATACAAACGTTGAGAATATGAGAACTCTTAGAATGGGTAAAACCTTAGAGAAACTCAGCAAACTTGCCCTTCAGTTAGTCCCTGCTCAGGTCTCCAAAATGTTTTTGTTCACTTATGCCATTACAAAGATAACATATACCATTTGCACATGAGAATGAACTGCTCATAAAGGCAGTCCAGATCCGAAATGCCAGCAAAAGAGATTAAGTAACCCCAGACGATTGTTTTGGCCTAAATTGGGCCTTGTCAGGGAAGTGTAGCAGATACCCTCCTAGGCACAGTGAGCACGGAGTCCATGTCTGATTACCCCTTTTCCACAGATAGTGCCAAAGTAAATGCAATGCAACAAAAACAGACAAAAGCTTAGAGAAATATATAAATACTTAGCTTAGAGAAATATAATACTAGAAGGAGGAGCACAACAGAATAAAATACAAAAAAGCTTTATTACACAAATAAACATATGTATAACAGGTATCCGCATAGATATTAAAGAATTGGAAATGTTAAAACATCTCTATCCAATATGCAAACAATAATTGCAGATAAAGTCAAAATGGGGTGGAAGCATTGATCAAAAATGATCCAATTAAAGTGGTATAACCACTAATTCAGAGCAACAGTTTATTAGATAACTGTATATACACTGAAACAAAAAGATACATACCAAGAACAACAGGAAATATGAGAGGAGGGTACTGACATCAAATATAAAAAATAGGCCACAAAGACCAGCGAATCCGCCTTTATCAAGGGAGATGCATCGAAAAGTTGAACGTAGGTGCTGTACACAGAGCAGCACTAGACTAGGAATCACCTCTAGCAGCAGTCTGAGTGACAGTCACTAGAGGTGATACTAGTGTTATACAGGGATTAATGGGAAAATTTCAGCAATTCAACAAGAAATGTATGACAGGCTAATTCGCTTTTGAATCTGGGCAGATCTCAGATATGTGTATTGAGAGAATAAATATTTCAATATTTACACTTAAAAATATTACGAACAGTTTTAAAAGCTCAAGTTTTATGAATTTACTCAATGTAATATTTGGCTTGATGTTCATATGAATTATACTGCCATGAAGTGCACTTTTTCAATCTGGTTTGATTCCATCTATATTGTCCCACTATTCCAATCAATAAACGTGCCATTATTTTAAATGTATTTATAACGAGCACTTTACAAGTCAAAGGCTTGCAACACAAGAATACTGCAGTCAATCATTTCACAGCATTAACTCCTATCAGTATACTGCAGTGGCTACACATATTTACATAACTTTATTTAGATTATTTTAAAGGACCACTATAGTGCCAGGAAAACATACTCGTTTTCCTGGCACTATAGTGCCCTGAGGGTGCCCCCACCCTCAGGGACCCCCTCCCGCCCGGCTCTGGGGAGAGGAAAGGGGGTAAAACTTACCTTTTTTCCAGCGGCGGGCGGGGAGCTCTCCTCCTCCTCCCTTTCGGCTGAATGCGCACACGCGGCAAGAGCTGCGCGCGCATTCAGACGGTCTCATAGTAAAGCATTTACAATGCTTTCCTATGGACGCTTGCGTGTTCTCAATGAGACAGCCACTAGAGGATTTGGAGGATGGATTAACCCATTTATAAACATAGCAGTTTCTCTGAAACTATGTTTATAAAAAAAGAAAAAGGGTTAATCCTAGAGGGACCTGCCACCCAGACCACTTCATTAAGCTGAAGTGGTCTGGGTGCCTAGAGTGATCCTTTAAGCTATTTTTATGTTCTTGCGGACAAGCCAATCAAGCATCATCACCTTGTTATATAATCCGTGTTAGTGTTGCTTATAGTCATACTGTTATCTGAATATTTAGCAAAATGAACATCCGCTAATGTGTACACTTGCTGGCCCAAATTACTTTATATTAATAGCTATATAAACTGTCACAGTAAAAAAATAAATAAAAATAAAGCTCATTTATATAGACCACAGAAGTCTGTAAGGAAACTGTTAGAATGTCACATTATTAAGAGAACGCACTTAAGATTAAACCAGATCTGCAAGTAACAACATCACACACAAAATACATTAGGTCGTCAGAAATTATTGTTCAAACTCATCGAAACACTGTGAAATAGCATTGACACAAACTTCTTAAAATGTTGCTGTTTTCATGCATCATGTACAAAACACGGAAATATTAGCTTGCTTACTTCCTACCTACATGGATTTCAACCCACGTGTTTCAGGAACACACAGCTCGTCCGGCGCACTGAATGACGTACATCTGATAGCATGACTCCGGCCGCCATCATTGAGACGGGCAAAGTGAAATATGAATTATAGGAGTCGATGTTGTTTAGTGCTTGTCAAAGTTGTATAAAGGAGTTTCACAATTAAGTAGTATCAACATACATCGTCTCTAGTTCAATGGGACTCACATAAAAAAAATAAATCACAATTGTAGTTTAAACTAGCTATAAGGAGCATTTAAACGGAGAGTATACAGCTCTGTCTTATCTGGAAACACTAACTCCCTGACCAGTCTGTAGCATGCCAACAGCCGCTTGTTAAATCGAACAGTCAGTAACAGAGACTTTATAACAGAAAACTTGTGAGTCAAAACTTGTACATAGTTTTCACTTTACACTCATATAAGTATTGGCACTGATATATATATATATTTGTATTTATATATTCAAACACATGCATCTCAGGGATTCCATCACTAATTTCCAAAGTGAAGCAAATTTACATTTTAAAGCACCAATCTAAGCATTTCCCCCATTGTAAGTTATCCTCTTATTATTTAAGGCTTTTTTTTTTGGGTTTCTACTATCTTGAATACATCTTTCCCCTAGCTCCACCACTTGAACCCACAGTTCACCAAGCCAGCCATATCAAATTATGAACTATATTTTATTATACATAATAAAACCTTTATTATTTATTTAATGGAATTTGCAAATGCTCAGGATTGTCAGGGAGGTAAATACAAATAAGAAGGAAGATCTGACTCTTAAATCAGTGTAGTCTGATTTAAGCAGACCTTGGCATGGGCGCTGGCCACAACACTTTGAATCTGACAGGCTTTTTTTCTTTTTCTTTCTTCCTTCCTTTTCCCATTCTCTCTCCTTCTGGCAGCCCTCTCTTGCCCATTGTCTTCTTAGCGGAATGGGTACCCCTAGAACTGATTTCACTCTATGCTTTATCAACGCCAGGGTTTGAAATCCCAGATAAAAGTGCGAGAGCTCTGATCGTTGTGGGTATCCATAGCTTTTTTCCAAGTAAACCCACTTTATTTCTGTCAGGGTGGCAGTCCGGTGACCGGGACCCAGACACTGTCTGGGCGGCGGTCGGACGAGTGGGACCCAGTATGCCTGATGTTGAAAGTAGGAGTCACAGTTTGGAAGTGTATTAGCAGGGTCTGGTGCAGGGTATACGCACACCCCCTGGTGTTGAGCACCAGTGTTTGTGCGGCCACATACCAGAAGCCATTGCCAGAATGATCCGCAGCTAGGAACAGGATGTGACAATTTCAGACAGACCTCCTCGGTTCTCTAACAAATACTTCCCTACAAGTTTTTTTGCGCATAACCCGGTAGTCAAAACAAAGGGGGTTGCGATAGTGTTCGTAGTGGACATCCCATTCTAGCGGTGCCAGAGATAGTGGACACAGATGGCACGTACCTTTTTCTGAAGAAGACAATCAATGAAATTCAATAAACCTTTGCCAACCTATACCTCCTGAATAAGGTCAAGAAGCCGTTCCTGGCTGACGCTTAGGACCCTGAATTCCTTCAGTGAAGGCTTCCTCATCATTGGGGGAGACTTCACTGTCCCTCTGGACCCGTGGTTGGACCTCGTACCTCCCCGCATACATCATTCGTAATATACACTCTTTGCTACATGAATACAAGCTCCCTGGCTGCTGGCGTACACTTCATCATGCAAGAAAAGATTACACATTCTGCTAGTCACCTTATATGGCGTACTCACACATTCACTACTTCTTACAACACATACATCTGGATGACTTACGCGCTGCATTGATCGCGCCCATGACATGGTCCGACCACCCTCCGTTCGTCATCTCCAACATCTTCCCTACACTGTATCGCAACGGACTTGGAGACTCAACAAATCACTAATGGATGACCTCATTAAAGTAGACCTTGGGAGTCACCTCACTCAGTTCTACTCTGCAAACTACACCCCTGAAATCACCCAAGATAAGGTGTGGTTGTGGCACACAAATGCGCCATCAGAGGGGTACTTATCAAATATGGCACCCAAAGGAAAAATTGTATGCACAGGAGATCAAGGACCTCCTAGCTCAGCTGAATGCTGAAACATCGGCACAACTCGGGCAGCCAATTTCCATGGAAGAACTTTCCCTGGCGCTGAAATAATGTAGAACAATGGACGGAGACATTCTCACACACAAGTCCTCCATCAACACCAAATAGCAGGAATCAGGATATAAGCGGATATCCCACTGGTACAAAACAGTGGGGAGACTTACTAACCCCTTCTCCCGATGCGACCCAGAGTGTTGGAGATGCTTGAAGGAACTGCGTTCATTATTTCACATTTGGTGGTCATGTCCACTCATATGGCCTTTTGGAGAGATGTACACCAAATCCTCTCCTCTCTCACTGACACTCCACTAAACTGTTCGCGGGCCTATACCTAGTTCATCTTATTCCAAAAAAAAATACAAGAATTTTGTAATCTTAATCCTTATAAATGCTGTCCGCAGTCTGATTCCATGCTTCTGGAGGCAAAGGCAGTACAATAATTAGAGATTAGATTGAGATCAGAGTAAAAGAGGATATGATACACTTGGGGATGGGTAGAGCACCGAAGTGCACACAGATCTGGTTCTATTGGAACCAATGGGTTTTCAGTGGTGTGGATCATCATTAAAACCTCCTGGCTGCAATAGTGAATGATCCTTGGGAGGGTCTTGCCATAACCGTTTCTGCCATCTGGGAGCACTTAGCATGAGATGGCCCAAAGGGGGTAGACCACCTCCTTCCCCCTTCTGCAACCTCAGGGGGTGGGGGAGGGCAGCGGGGTGCAGTCCCCTGTCCCTCCCTTTCTAACTGCCCAAAAACCCCCATTTTGTTTTTTTCTCTCCCATTTTCCCTCCTATCCCCGGCAACTTGCAGCATGGTTGCAAAGCACAGCATTGACACAGGGATTGTCAGGGTTAGGCATATCCAAAGTCCCTTACACCTACCCTTCTGTCACCTGAGACTCAGTTCTGCCGCCAAGTCCTACATAGAGTTTCAGTTGTTTTCTTGGTTCTTGAATGTATACACTTGCTTGGAATTCATGTCTCATGCTTGATTTCTACTTGCCTAAAGTTTATTGTTGCATGTCCATACTCTGTTTGCAATTATCTGAGTTATATTATCACTTGCAATGACAAGGGACATTATAGTCACCAGAACAACTACAGCTCATTGAATTTGTTCTGGTGTGTAGAATCATTAACTTCAGGCTTTTTGCTGTAAACACTGTCTTTTCAGAGAAAATTGCAGTGCTTACATTACAGCTTAGTGATAACTTCACTGGCCACTCCTCAGATGGCTGTTAGAGATCCTTCCTGGGTCATGGCTCCCTAAAATGCATCCAAACACTCAGTGTCTCCTCCCTCTGCATGCAGACTGTAGAATATTGCATATTCCATGTTTCTATTGATTATATATGGATGTGTGGATTGACATAAGTAACAGATGGTATAAGTCACAAGTCTTTCTTTGTCTGGGAGCTCTGGAATGTGGATTTGGGGGTCTTGTTCTTATATGGCTAGAGTTAAACTCTGACATCAGTATGGGCACATCTATATAGTAACAGAGGGACACAAGGTCTCTCTCTCTTGGCTCTTGGCGCTCTCTGGCTCTCTCTCAATGTAAAGATGTAAGGATGTAACTCTCCCGTCAGCAGTCCAGCAATTACCATCTGCTGTTGAATGTCCATTATCCTGTAACATCATTTGTTGTTTTATTATGTATCAGTAACTAAGAATAAACCTGAAGAAACCGTAAGTCAGATTGCGTATTAGTACTTTTCATTAGTATAGACATATATTAATATATATTAATGTGGCGAGCAAAAGATTTAATGTGGCGATCGATTCGATCCAACCAGATTTTACACAGACACTGAACTTTCCTCATAGAGATTCATTGATTCAATTCAATGAGGAGATGCTGATTGGCCAGGGCTGTGTTTGAATCATGCTGGCTCTGCCCCATATCTGCCTTTTTGTCAGTCTCAGCCAATCATATGGGGAAGCATTGTGATTGGATCAGGCTACCACTTCTGCTGATGTCAGAAAACACCATGCAGATCTACAGCTTGAATACAGTAATATTTTACTATATTTATAGAGACATGAGGGGCTCAGGGGGGCTAGATGGTGGTTATAACACTATAGGGTCAGGAATACATGTTTGTGTTCCTGACCCTATAGTGATCCTTTAATAAAAGCGACTTGAATGAAAAAATAAAGTCCCTATTCAATCATTGATTTGAGGGAAATTTCTTTGAGCGAATTATACTTTGTAGCCTTTCAGTATTTTAGTTAACTTCTATTTACAGCAACAGGGCACGTAGCATTTATTATGATGTAACCCTGCATTTAGATACCACTTGGTTTATATATATATATTTCCGTGTGGTTGTATTTTGGCATGATCAGGTTCTACACTATATATATTCTGAAGTGCATTCATACATTCCATCTATTCAGCACTGCAGTTAATTTATATTCAGAATAAGATATCTGGTATTTATCTGGTCATCGTTACAGATTCGTTAGTGGAGGGATCGGGAGCCGTGAACCCACAGTCCCATTTCAGTGGCATTGTTCACACAGATATAATCATCTTGATAAAATTGGGGAAATAAAAACATGTAGATAGTAACTGTCAGATTTGATGTTTAAACTAATGAAGGCACTTTTTTTCTGAATTATGGGCGCCCTTTTCCTCTGTATACTGAAATTTTAATAGCCTTGAGAAATATATAAACATGAATTTTAACATTTTTAGATATCCCTGTCCAATGACAACCTCTCTTTGGAACTTAAATGAACCTAAATGAAAGCCTCTTAATCTTTAAAGACTCTGGTTCATGCTGACGCTACATTCTGTATCCCATGCTTCCCCAAACTCCAGCCCTCCAGATGTTGCTGAACTATAACTCCCATGATTCTCAGCCCTTTTCAGTTATATAATCATGGGAGTTGTAGTTCAGCAACATCTGGAGGGCCAGAGTTTGGGGAAGTCTGCTCTAACCCTTTGTTTATTTTAATGTAATATAACATTCAGGCATTTTTTATTCTAAATCTTCCAAGAGTTTTATATTTACTCCAGTTTGTATAATTTGTATGAAGAGTTTTAGATTAAAACGTCTCTACATAACTGGGAAGTAAGTGCATTGCTATACATCTTAACAGGGCCGTCTTTAACATTGATTGGACCCTGGGCATGCATTTGTTTGGGCCCCCTGGATCCTGCCCTCCCTCCCTACCCCCCCAAACTTTCGCTCTCTGGCATGCAATCACACCCTCCACCCCAACACAGTGGCAGAATTAATGTAGACTGGGCCCTGGTGCAAGACATTGTTTTGAGCCTCCCCTCTAGCGCAAGAGCAGAGAAGATAGATCCTCATCTGTTGTACAATTCCCACGATGCACAGCCACAAACATAAATACACGTGCACACACAGATAAAAACACTGGCACATCCACACACAGAGATACACACTTACACACACTGACACAGATATGTACACACAGAAACACAGGTACACATGCAGGGGTGTATTTGTGTGCAGTGTTGGCGTAGAAATGCTGGGATGTATGCATTGTCACACAGATGCACACTTACAAAAACACTGAGATACACACAGGAACACAGACACATGCAGTGGTGTATTTGTGTGCATTGTTAATGTTGGAATGCAGGGGTGTATTTGTGTGCAATGTTAGATGGGATGTGTGCATTGCCACACGCATAGATACCCACTTACACATACTGACACTCATATACACACACAGATACATATACACAGACACACAGGTACACATACAAACTGACACACAGGTACACGTACACTGACACAAACACAGCCAGATAAACACACACTGACACAAACAGCCAGATATACACTGACACACACAGTCAGATACACACACAGTGTCAGATACACACACATTGTCAGATACACACACACAGTCAGATACAAACGCTGACACAAACACAGCCAGATACACACACACTCAGTAGATAAACACACACACAGTGAGATACACACACACTGAGATACACAGACATACACACACACACACAGTGAGATACACACATACACACTGTGAGATATACACACATACACACAGTGAGATACACACACACAGTGAGATATACACGCACACACAGTCAGATACACACACACAGTCACACACACAAACACAAACAGTCCAATACACACACACATACAGTCAGATACACACACACAGTCAGATACACACACACACACAGTCAGATATACACACATAGTCAGATACACACACACACACAGTCAGATACACACACATAAAACCATAAAATGCACAACCTAAAAATACAAAGGGATACACACACACACTGACACAAAACACACACACACACACAGTCATATCAATTCACATAGTTTAGCCACCCTCCTTACCTTTACATAAGTGTGGCTTCCCTGGAGTCCAGTGGGAGCTGGATGGCTGAGATTGATGGGAGTCTTCTTCTTTTTGGTCTGTACCTCCTCCTTCGCTCCATGTATGCCTCCTTTTCCCCAGCGGCACTCTGTTAATTGGGAGGTACAGACAACACAACACTTCCTCCCAGCAGGCAGGAAGACAGAGGCCCGGTCTGGAGCTCTCCTAAAGGGCTGGGGGCCCTGATTACCTCATCTGCTGCAGCCCACCGGGATATTTCTCAGTATCCCGGTGGGCTGTTCAGACCTGGCTGCGGGCAGGGGGACCACAGGGCAGCTGCTTTGGGCCCCCCAGGAGCAACTGGGACCGGGGCAGCTGCCCCGTTTGCCCCTTGTTAAAGACGGCCCTGCATATTAAGAATGACTGCACAACCTAATAACATTCACTAGGGCCAGGGATAGGAAACCTTCAGCACTCCACATGTTGTGGACTACATCCCCATAATGCTCTTACATTCATAATGCTGGCAGAAAAAAACATCGGGAGTGCCTAAGCTTGCCTATGCCTGCACTAGGCAATAGCAACTGGAAACATAGCATTCCTTTCTTTCTGTCAAAGACCTGTACGCATAAACCACAGATACAGACATTCTGGAACGCAGCCAGTAGATGGACACACAATGCAAAGAATGTTGTGGAAGTGGTCTAAATCTTATTTATTGTAGGCAAAAAAACAAGTTTGACAACAATAGGAAGGGAATATAATCTCGTGGATATGCTCTTCTTTTAGCTCAGTTATGAGTGTGATCTGAGGCCATCAATGCAAAGGAAATTTTACACACTTTTTAGCAGTAGAACTATTGAAAGGACTTGAATGAGCTTGTATTTAAGTGCACTATGGACCTCAGAATAAGTAGATAAGTCAGAATAGCTGACACAAACACTATTTGCTTCACATTTCAACTAACAGGAATTAATAACAAGTCTCAATAGCCAAAAAGTAGGCTTAGATACCAAGATTGTGTTTGTGTCAGTGCTGAATATTACTGATTTTCCATAAAATGTGCTTGTCTCTCTGGCATAAACATTTTGATTCCTAAAAGCCTTGCTTTTTTTGTATGATAGAAGATGTGATTGGCTTTATCAGCTGCAGTACTCCAAGCAGCCACAGTTTGTGCCATTCATGTAACAAGGTTCATCCTGGCACAGAGGAGCCATCCTGGGTTGGATTAAATTGATACTGATTAAGTTTTAATTCCACATTATCAATGTGCTTGAAGTCCGTTGGCACTGTCCCTCCATTCCATTTCATGTTCAGTTTAACACTAAATAAGTGTCCTTGGCCACCCACAATCCAGCCTCTACTGGAGGCATGGGTAAGTCAGAGATTACACACTTCCTTATAGCCATACCATTTCAGGCCTGTAATACATACTGTGATAGGCTGAAAGCAGTCAGTTTACACTCTCAGCCAATCGTAGCTACCCATTACTGCTCAGACCAATATTTAGTATTAAAGCATTCAAACACTGAATTGAATGATGTCACCAGGAGAATCCAGACAATATAACCACTTCAATGATATGAAACAGTTAAAGTGCCTTGTCAAGAAATACATCTGAATTATGATTTGAATTCATACAAGTATTTATAAGTGTAGTCTTGTGCATAATAAGCAAAAATAATCACAATTTCTGATGAACAAAGCAAAATGTATCAATAACAAGGTTACACAATATATAAAGAAAGAAACAAAGATCAAACAATTAATGTCTAAACATGAAAATTAATTAAATGAATAAGATATATCATATTTACTCAAATCTAATGCCCCATCGAATCTAATGCTCACCTCAATTTTGGAAACCTGGAAGTTGAAAAATGTTTTTGCTGGTGAATGTAATGCGTGTTTATACAAGATACTAATATACAACGTTGTGCTACAATGAAAATGTTTATGGTTATACACCATAGTAACATTGATGGTATTTCAGTTTTAGTGTTACTTGTTGAGTCTATTCTTTCTTAAGCCCTCATTCAAGAACGCAATTTGCCTGTATGAATTCACCAGTTTGAAGTTGCCTGTGTGGATTCACCGAAATGCAATTTGCTGGAAATTTTTGAATGTAATGCGCCATCGAATTTTGGGAATTTTATCTTCTAAAAAAAGCTGCACATTAGAGTTGAGTGAACTTTAAGGAACTGAATTCACAATTAAATTAACCTATTATATCAATTATAGAATCTAGATAGTTAAAGGTATGCTGAGTAGTGTCCATTGAAATGGTAATTTTGTAACTTCAGTAGTTTAATAGACAGCTCCAAAATTTGGTATTTTTATATATGGCAATCCCACATAAGGATAGCAAATTAAGGAGCCATCTACTAAATAATTGAAAGATCAAAATTAAGAAAAGCAGATGGGCCCCCAAGCATGCAGGCCCCGGTGTCCCTAAGTGCGACACCCAGTGGTCCCATTGTATAATACAAGTTAATTTGCTCTACATCCTGCTGTCCCTGTAAAACTTGAGGAAGGATGGATTTGTCCCTTATCTGTCCATCCAATGTGATTCTTTACTAAAGTGAGAACTCAAAGTGAATTTCGAATTCATGCCTCAGTAGCTCAACTGATTTGTTTTCCCAGTTCATCTATTTCGACATTAACTCTGTAAGGACAGATGCAATTGTCCAACTTCTGAACCAATGTGTGCTATATGTTTGTTCCTCTGTAACTTAAGGGTTTCTTTTTATGTGTATCCACACAAATTGTATATTGCTTTTTAAAGCACCAGAAAGGGTTTTCTTTTAATATCCTATATGTATACCTAAGAAAACATTATGTATAAATAACTTGTTAAAAATAGGGAAAATTTGCTTATAATACTTTTTAGGCATCAAGTGCAGCTGAAAAAAAAGAACTCAAAATAGCTTCACATATAAATATTGATTGTTAAATATCTCATATGTCTAGGATTTAAATAATTGATTGTCGTTAACGCTAAGCCTATACCAAACCCCCAAGCTAACCCTGTAACAACCTTACCCATAACACTATGGGTACACCAACTCTAACCCTATACCTTCTCTAAACTGACCCCTAACCTGAACTCTACACTGTCGTTACCGCTAAAACAGCATTAACCCTAACCCATATCATTTCCTACCTAAAACAGTAGAGAGGGGTCTCTGGACCCCATCTACTGGATAATTGTAGCAGGAGATGGGGATCTTCTTCTCATGGTGCAGCTCCGGAGTGTTGTTCCTGCCGATCACACTCTAATTGGTGATGGGTAACTGGTAAAAGCCAGGATCAGTCAAAGTTGGCACCTCCTTCATACGTGGGGAAAGGATCACATCACCTTGGCTGAATGTGATTCCTCATTCATGAAAACTTAAGTACTATTTAATTGGCTGTATGAAGCACTCACTATAAGTGCTGTTTATTGCTCATCTGCCAGTCTGGGGCCACTAAGTGGGCAGAAGAGTCACAGTTATTAACAGGGATTTAACTCTGCTCACAACGTTAGGGTGTTCCATGCGGTCTTAATGCAATTAAAAACACTTTGGAACATCTAACATCCTCAAAGGGTTAAATTTCGAATATACTTTGAATTCTCACATTTGTAAATATCCCTGATAGTGTGACATGTTCATTAATTACAACTGTTACGCCTTTAAATGGAGGGCTATGATGATTGCATAGACCATTCCTTTGTTGTTATAAGAAAAACAAACAAAGATTTATGCCATTTATAGATGTTATACATATTTATAGAATTTATTTTTTTCTACAGGAATATTTGTTTCCCTCTTCATATAATCTCTTATCAGCAACTACAATATATATGTATTCTCAACTGTCCTCTGCTCTGAACCCATCTCACTCTTCTTCTACCTCATAGGCGTGCTGACAGGGTTTGCCTGGTGTGTCATTGCATGCCCTAATGCAGCGAGAGTGCCAGCTGCTGCGCAAGCCTGTAGGAATATCAAAAAGCCCCCTCCCCTCATGTGCCCTTATGTAGCCCCCCTTCCCTCTTGTGCCCTCTTTATCCCCCTCTCATGCATTCTTTAGCCCTTATCCCCTTCTGTGCACTCTGTAGCCCCCTCCTCTCTTGTGCCCTTCGGTAGTCCTTCTGCCCTCCTGTGCCCTCTTTAGCACTTTACTTTCCTGTGCACTCTTAAGCCCCCCTCCCCTCTCTTTAGCCCCACTCCCATCCTGTGTAGCCCTCCCTTCCCTCCTGTACCCTCTTTTGCCCCCCTCCCCTCCTGTGCCCTTATTAGTCCCCCTCCTGTGCACTTCTTTTTTCCCTTCCCCTCCTGTGTCTCCTTTTGTCCTTTCCCTTCTTTTTTTTTCTTTTTTTTTAATTCTTTATTTTTGACAGTGCAGTAGTACATAGAACATTCGGCAATAATATGAGTCAGCATAAGTATATCAACATTGTACACTGTTAGATTGCAAAGTTTACTGCACTGTTATTTTATGTTTTGCGTTAAAGTTAACATAATGACATATTTAAGCAGAATTTTTACCGGTCTCAGCCTGCAGGTCTTAGCTTTTCTAGTCGCTTGTGTTTGTGTCTGAGGTCAAAGCAGGGAGTGGGGGGTACCATTTCTTTGTCTGGGGGGCTGTCTGTGCCTGTGGCGCAGTTGGCATAAGGTCTCTGTTTCAGGTATCCAGGCTACAAGGAGACCCTCAACATCTGTTCCCCCACTAGTCGGGCTGTCCTGTCCAGTGTTATGCGCCTGCGAGGTGAGCCAGCTGGTCTTAGTCTTTAAGCAGGCATGAGGTTCGGGGGCACTAATGGGTGGCAGGTCGTAACGGTGGTGTGCCCGGGGCACATCCCTGTTCTCGCTGGTGTAATGGGCTGCCATTTATATTAAATTGATGAGGTGTTTATAGTATAGGGGTCGGCAGGTCCCAATCCCACCGGGCTTCATTAGGGGAATGTCTGTGGTGCTCTGTCTCGTTTCCCCCCACCACTTCCCCATCCCCCCACGAGGTCTGGGCTACCGTTACTAAGAGTAAGATATCGGAGCGGCAGTTCGTCCTTCTTGGGTGGGGTGGTCATCCTCCTCTCCCTAGGTCCTGGGAAGGTGGTGTGTAAGGTAGGACTAGTTACTTGTTACAGTCCTTATTTATGGCCCCCACCCAC